GACCACACGGCCCGGCGCTCCCGGGAGAGACGCCGCCGTGCCGTCCCGTGGGAAGACCTGCACCGCTGCTGCGCCCACCCTGCACCCACCGGGACCCCGGCCCTCCCTGCCGCCCGCACCTGCCCCAGGGACCCCCCCAGCTGCCGGCAGACCGTAAGTGAAGCATTGGTGAGCCCCAGCACTGCGTTTTGGGGTCCGAGCGCCGTCGGGGGTTGCTGCTGCCCACCCTGCCTCTGCCCTATCTCTCCTAGGGCACCGGGGACGAAGCCGGCGGTGAAGGGAACCGCCTTAGCCGTGGGGCTGAACTCAGTTAAAATTCACTGCCAGAACGAAGCCGTCTACCAGTACCATGTTACCTTCAGGTATCGATGTGGGCACGGGGGGCCGGGCTCCCCCGCAGCCCCTTGAAGGGTGGGCGCCCCTGGGCAGAGCCCTCCGTGTCTCTCCCTCCGTCCTGGTAGCCACTAGATGGAGCGGCCGGCGTGGCCACGGCGCCTGCGGGCAGAGCTGCTGCAGGGCAGCGAAGCAAATGAGCTCCGGCTTTTCCCCCTCGCGGGGTTTTTGGGGTCCTGAGCAGGGTCTCGTGGGGAGGCAGAGGAGGGTTAAAGGACCGAGGACTTGCCAGCGGCGGCAGGCGATGCATCCCTGTCTCCGGCAGCCCCGAGGTGGAGTGCAGGAGCACACGCTTTGCCATGCTGAAGGAGCACCGGGCGGTGACGGGGGACGTGACCGCGTTCGATGGCTCCATCCTCTACCTGCCCATCCTGCTCCCCCAGGTAAGGGGCGATGTGATCCGCACCAGGGTGAGGTTGTTCCAGCCAGTTTGGGGGCGCAGGGATGCCCCCCCCGCGGGTCTCCAGTCAATGTGCTGGGTAGGAGAGCATCCCTCCTGCCCCGGGTAACGCGCCGTCTCGCCCCGCAGCCGGTCAGTCTGAAGGCTCAGAGGAGGAGCAACTGGGAGGAGATCACCATCACCATCCAGATCACCAAGGTCCTCGAGCCCAGCTCGGATCTCTGCATCCCCTTTTACAACGTGGTTTTCCGGAGGTGAGGGACGGCGGAGACCCTCCCCGAGCTCTGGGGAGGAGACCCTCCTCCTCCACCGCCGCCTCCTCCTCCTCCTCCTCCCTCCGAGCCTGAGCCCATCCTGCTTTTATTTTTCTTTCCTAGGGTGATGAGAATCTTAGATATGAAGCTTGTTGGGAGAAATTTCTTTGAACCTGCCCAGGCCACCATATTACAGCATTACAGGTGGGTGCTGGACACGGTTTCCTCCTGCTGCTGCCCAAGCGCGTGAGTGCGGGATGGGGACGTCCCTGTCCCCCCCGGCAGTAGCGCGAGGCTGGAAATTGGGAAGTCTTTGCCAGGTCAGTTCTCTTGGCCAGCTCTGGTTAGCCTGACCTCAGAGCGCCTGTTTTTTGCAGTGCAATTCAGGGGTTATTAGCTGAAAGCTGGCAGCCAGCTGGGAAATAAATCCCCGTGTGTTTTGAGCGCTCCTTGGTGAGCGGGACGGCTGCCCGGCTCCTCTGGCAGCGCCGTGCAGGCGGCTCCGGTTTTAACCCAAGCACCGCTGGGCATCTTCTCCTCCGGGCACAGGCTGCAGATTTGGCCGGGATACTCTGTCAGCATCCGGAAGAAGGACGGCGGCCTCTTCCTCTTGGTCGACGCCATCCACAAAGTCATCCGCAGCGACTCCGTCCTGAATTTCATGTGAGAGAAGGGAAAAAGCCTGGAGGAGCCCTGCAGGGCGTTAGGGGTGGGGGTGGTTCTCCAGCAGTCGCGTGCCTGGGGCTGGCTCTTGGCGAGGGCAGTGCCAACCGTGATCGCTGGGCCCGCGGCCGCCGGTGCCGTTCGGCAAAAGGCATTTTATTTTTGGGGTAGCGCGGGCAGGGAGCATCACCGTGAGCCTCTCCTCCTCCCTCTCTCCCCGCCGCAGGCACACCATCTACAAGCAAAGCCTCAGCAGCTTCCAGGACGAGTGCACCAAGCAGCTGGTGGGCAACGTGGTCATCACCCGCTACAACAACCGCACCTACCGCATCGACGACATCGACTGGAACAAGACCCCGAGGGACAGTTTCACCCTGGCCAGCGGCGAGGAGATCACCTTCGTGGACTACTACAGGTAGGAACCTGCTGGAGCATCCCTTGGGATGAACGTCTGTCCGTGGGGAAGGGCTTGATGCCTGGCTCTGGCCCGAGGTGGGTGAGCAGGAGCAGGAACATCTCGCCTGATGCCATCTCCCTGCCGTTTTTCCAGCAAAGCCTACGGGATCACCATCAGGGAGCTGGACCAGCCGTTGCTCGTCCACAGGCCCAGGGAAAAACAGACGCCGGAGGGGAAGGTGAGCCAGGCACGGAGGCGTGGGATGGGGAAATTGAGACCCACGGTCTTTTCTTGGCTCCTGCAGCCCTTGTCCTGCCCGTCGCTGGGAGGGCAGGGGCTTGCAGCCCCCTCGGGGTGCTGACGGTGCCTGTCCCCCTCCCTGCAGCGTCGGCTGGACATGGTGCTGCTCGTGCCGGAGCTCACCTTCATGACCGGGGTCCCCGAGATAAGGAAGGACAGTCGAATGGTGAAGGTCAGAGCATGTTTGCATCTGATGGTCCCTGCTCACCCGAGCCGGCGTTGCCCGGTTTGGAGAGCTGAGCCCTGACCAGCCGCTGCTGGGGGAAGCTCAGAGCCCCCCATCACACCCGGGGGTTCCCCAACCCGCCTCCTCCCGTGCCCGCCCGCTGCAGGACGTGATGCGGGAGATGCTGCAGAGCCCCAGGCAGCACTACATGCGTCTCACCAGCCTCCTGCGCAGGATCAAGGACAGCCCGGAGGCCTCGGGGGAGCTGATGCGCTGGGGGCTCAGCGTGGACCCAGACATCCACAGGGTAAGGGCGGCGGGGGGCCAGGCTCCAAGCTCCCCGCCCCAGGAACGGAGGCCATGGCTGCACTGCGGCGGCGCTGGAGCTGCCATGGGTTTCTGCTCCGTTTAGACCCAGGGCCGAGTCCTGCCCGCGGAGAGGATCAACCTGCGGCACAGCTCCTTCGTCCCCACCGAGGACCTGAGCTGGAACAAGGAGGTCACGCGAGAAGCCTCCATCTCGGCGGTGAGCCCACGGCTCGGCCCTTGCAACAGCATCCCCTTGTTTGAAAACTGGGATGGGTTTTCTTAGTGCTGGCATCCCGTCTGTCCTGCTCCCGTCTGAGCTTGTTGGAGCTAAAACCCTTCCCTTATTTATATTGGCT